TATGTGTATAAAAGTTACTAAGAGTCAAAGCGCCAGATATTAAAAACTACTAAAAAAGCTGAAAATTTTGTATATGCAAAATGTCCTAAGCAGATAAAATATCTTAAGAACAATATAATCTTTTCACTTTTAGTCAAGATTGACTAAAAGTGAAAATATTAAAACATTTTTTTAGATTTAGTTTATGAGTATAACATTTTGACATGGAAACTATCATCAAATAAATATGCAAATTAGACTACGCATCCATAACAAAGGTATTCAATCACATTCAATTTGAAATATTGTAGCAAAATTATATTTGAATATGCTTAAAACAGAAGAAAGAGAGACAAAGAGATGAAATAAAATTTTTTTGTTTCAACCATTTCATCAAATGAGCAATACGCTTTATTCTTTCATATGACATGTTTCGATTTTTGATATGAGCACACGAGTGCAAAAGTGGCAGTATGACTTGTTTCATTTCAGTAAATACATCAAATATTTGAGTTTACATGTACGATTACACCATATCTTCATCTGAAGTCACGAATCACTGTTATATAGCATTTAGCATCAGAAATATTTCTTAAGTCATGTCTACAGCACAGTTTCTCTTAATTTCAAGCAACTTTGAAGTATGTAACTTCTTCAGAGGTTTGACGTTGAGCTCAGCAAGTATCATGCTGGTTCTATCAACTTCTATACAACGCGATAAACAAGCAAGTGTGTTCCTAGCACGGCAGAAATTCGATTTCAGTTTCATGTTTGAGGTGTAAAGAACACGAGACTCCTGTGGAACTAGAACTATGCATGAACGTGCTTGACAGTTGAGCTAGAAAAAAAATCATATCAGCAATCGAGAATCTCGATTGCGCTTCTATTCTGTTCAAAGTTCTTCAACATTGTGATAAGTAAACTTCCAAATAGCTTACCAGTTTGTTGTGAACCTACAAGTTATGTAGAGTTATATAGACTACTGTACCGATATTTAAAGAAAAAATATCGGTACAATAGTCTACATAACTTGCACAAGAGTCATTGTCAACCAGGCCGACAGCGCATGTGCCACTCAGTTGTCACAATCATCCACTTGCTTGCATAGATTAAAATAGATTCAATAAAGATGAACTTTGAAATCTTTGTTGTCAGATGACGACATCGAGTCTATCATCACACTGATGCATTCAGTGTGACTTAAAGTATCCTGTTCCCTTGCACCTCAAAGTCAAGATCTACTCTGACCTTCTAACACCATTGTCCAATCACAAAGGACAGAGTAACGCGCTTCTTAAGTTAGAATATTGTCGTTACCTTGATTGCTCACACTTTTCAATGACGAGATCTGATTCAAGATGGTGCATGCTTTTTCCCCACACTACCGATCTAAGGGTCTGTCTTCTCGTGAGTCTTGATGCAGCTTTTACATTACAAGTGTGCACGAACGTTAAAAAAATTCTGTGATTATTTATTCCCAACGTCAGATTATTGTCTTACTTAGGTGATATTCTTGCAAGTAAAGTCATAGAGACATTATTTGATATGAATGAAATCTTAAATGAAATTATAGGTGAGATAAAAAATTTGAAAATAGTGATGACAAAGGGATACACAAAGCAGCATAACACGGAAAGAGTTCCAAGTTGAACTGACATCAATAACATCCAAAACTTAAGAATTAATTAGAAAAAAAAATTCAAGTCATTAAGAATTAATCGGATTTCTGGTTTTGAATAAAAAAAACATATGAATTCACTCACATGCATTTTCAAATATTTTCATATAATTTCAAATGATGAAATCATGTGCAATGAATCATCAAACAATGTTTGGAATTTATTTGGCCCAATGTAAATGAAAATGTATAATCTTTGACATGATAAAAGTAACGCATCATCACAAGAACTGGTACAAAAGCATGAAAAAATTATTAGTCACCTAAACTTTGAAGTTAAAAGAAAGTTACACAAGTAATATAATGTTATAAAAAACTCAGAATTTAATGAAACACGTGATGGAAAAGAAGAAATAACATTTAAAAATTTCTCCAACCTCAACCAGGACAAGATGAAACATGATAGATATGGGAATATGCTTTTAACCACATAAATAACGTGAAATACAAAAAACCTAACGTAATTTTTCTGAAAATCAAATAAACCATCATCATCACTAAAATCATCTGAATAGTTTTTTGAAAGATTGCTCTCAATGTTTAGAAACAAGAAATAAAATCAAACATATCAATTTCATTCACAATTTTGTATCCTTTGAGTTTAAAAACATCATAATTGTTTATTTTTAAATGAATTCCGAATAAAAAATTAATTATCATGTAGTTTAGATCCAGAAATATTTTTTTAGAAAATACATATTTATCGTTTATATAGAACTTTGATTGAAAACTGATTTTTGATGTCCACAAATATTACCCTAATCCAAATTTTTCATTATGTATACTAAATATGAGATTTAAATTTGATATAAAAATTAGAACATAGCTAGGTTTTTTCTCCAAAATTGTTAAAATTGTCCAATTTTTTTTCCCATTTTTATCAATTATAGATCAAAATCCAAAACACAAAACATTTAGTGAACAAAAGGTATATGATGAAATTTAAGATATCATAAAAAATTTGAATCTATAAATGATACACTATTGCAAGCAACTTCATTGACGTCTTTTTTGAAAAAAAGAAAAAGTTTCAAACTATACAACCTCAAATTTCTGAGACAATAATTTAGAAGTTTATTTTGGCTTGTATATACAACTATGGGCATTGCAATCAAAAGTATACCATTCGGATTTATACTGAAACATGCTCTCATTCTCACTAACATCCCTAAACACAAAATCTTTATGTATAAAACAAGTCAAAAATATAAATTGTCTAATATTTGTTTGAAATTTATATTTTACTATTTTTTCTACATTTATTATATAATTATTGTGATAACAATCACATAATTTAAATGCAAAAATTAGTGATATGTATGATTAACTATCTTATAAGATATTATTTGGTAACATATCATTCATCCACATAATCAACATATTTAAATTTTTCATATTTGCATTGTCTTTTTGCACGTTGCACGTTTTGTTGCATATTGTGCAGGTTCAGATCATGAAAGCCATGCATAAAGTGACCAGGCTGTCATCTTAGCAGCAGGTGTTCATCATGCGAATTCTGTGTTCACGGTCATTCATTTTGGCCCGGAAAGTCAAAAGAAAAAAATGTGGTGAAGATTCCAGAAAGGTTTGTAATTTTCAATATAGCAGTGACGTACTATTCACTTGAATACATTGGACAAAGTCAGCCATTAACACGCATTGTTCAGCGACATTTACTCTTCTTACTGCAGCTGTTCATCTACAGTGATTTGACTGCGGACAAATGCACGCAGCTGAGAAAATGGAAAATTGGGCGTCCCTGAGGTCACGGTTGGCTTGAAGTGCGTTTTAGATAAGTAGGCAGGACGGTGGCGTGATTCTCATGGACTCTTCAATGGAAGTAATGTCCTGTGCATTGTAATTGTTAGGTCCCACAAAAAGCATCAAAAGTGTCCAGCCTAGCATCTTCACTGTCTTAAGTGGAGTGAACTGGCGTAAGTTAAGTACAAGCCGAGAGTGAAATTTGGTAAGCTTAGTTCCAGTTGAGGATGGGCATATTCTATGATATCAAATAATATGTGGAGCACTGAGGACCAAACAATATTGCTGTGAGTTTCCTAGAAGACGTTGCATTAAGAATTTATACTTATGATTATGTAAGATAGAGCTTGGATCATTACAGTGAGTGCAGAATATTTTTCACGTGTTATGTATCAAATATTTTTACTATTACTCTATAGATTGAAAATTCAAGGGACCATGTGAATACTACAGTTTTGTACCAATTGCAATATTTCAAAAAATTCTTTTACATGTTAACCATCGGAAACTTGTAAAATCCCAAATGTTTTGGCGGTAACAACAGTGAAACACACAATAAAGTAGCCACAATACATGGCAAATCACCAGATTATGCTGTTTCTATCGTCTTCTGTACCAAGCAATAAGCAAGCAAGAATGTTCTTAGCAAGATCAAATTCGATAACGATTTCATGTTTGTGGTCTAACTGTGCATGCATTCACATACTTGACAGCTGGGGGAGAAGAACAATCATACCAGCAGTTGATAGTTTCGAGAACTGGTATCCTCTGTACACAATTCTTCGATGTCATAGTTAGTAAAATTCCAAAAAGCTTATCAATTTTTTCTGAACCTACAAGTTATTTACAATCATGTACACAACTGTTCTGGGTCAAAAGTAAAAAAAAAACGTAACATGCTTATTACAGCTGACTACGCATGTGCCACTCAGCTGTCAGAATATGTCCACTTGCTCGAACAGATCGAACATCCCAGATAAATGGATTAATAAAGAAGAAAGTTGTAATTGAAGTTGTCAATGTGACATCATCGAATAAATCCCAGATAAATGGATTAATGAAGAAGAAAGTTGTAATTGAAGTTGTCAATGTGACGTCATCGAATATTTCATCACACTGACGCATTCACCCACGTTTCCTCTCCGCTTGCACAACAAAGTCCAGATCTACTCTGACCTTCTAACACCATGTTCCAATCACAGAGTATGAAAGCACACGATTTTTGTGTTCGAATGTTGTCATTACCTTGATCGCTCACACGATTCAATGAGAAGATCTGATTAAAGAGGATGCATGCTTTTTCCCCGAGCTAGCCATCGTAGTGTCTGTCTTCCCGTTGGACTTGATGCAGCGAGATTCGCAGTCTCCAAATACAACTGTACATCCAGTTTTTTCACAAGTAAGAGTTCGTCACATCTGAGAAATCTGCAATATCATGCATTCTATGACATTTTGCTTTCACATCGCGCCATCTTTGCTAAGAACTTGATTTCAGATACTCGTGCAGAGCTAACATCTTGTTCACTCAGTTCAGTCACCAGTGCACATCAAACCCCGATAGACGTGAACTTTTTTTTGCCACAAGGTCTACGATTTAGCTTGGAACCAGAATCCTGGTCTTCTGTGCTAATTTTGATTCCCATCGCTTGTCGCTTGATCGCAGATCTTGGAATGATATTTGTGTTCGCTACTTGTGCACAGTGCAAAAAGTCTCATGCCTAGCATCCACATGAGTTGTGACACTACTACGACGGGAAGATAGTTTTCTTCGGGAGAGCCGGGTTTTCGAATCGAGGAGAGTGGAGGAGAGAAAAGGAGAGAATGGAACTAGTTTTCTTCGGGAGAGCCGGGTTTTCGAATCGAGGAGAGTGGAGGAGAGAAAATGAGAGAATGGAAGGTGCAGGTGAGTCCATCGTTAGTCACGCTGCTGAGCTTGCGATACGGGAAATGGACTCCGCACACGAGGAGAGGCTTCCCTCCGCCATCCAGGACCTTGTACGGCGTCTGGAAGGACAAGGCGAGCCTATAACGCGGCTTCCCGATTTAAGCTCGCCAGAATTTCGGGAGTTCTTTCGTGCATCACTCTCGACAATCATAGGGTGGCGAAGCCAAGTGCGTTTTCGAGTGCTGGAGGCAATTGGCAGATGCAACACCCTTGAGTATCTGAAAGTGCGTGATATTTGTGAGGGAGATCTATCGAGGTTGACGGCAAGCGAGTGGGAGTGGATTTTGAGAGGATTCATTTCTAGCACTGTTCTACGACGGATAGATTTTTTCGGTTTGACCTGGAATTCAGATGCGGAAGTGGAGTACTGGTGTTTACAGCTGGGGAGAATTCTGAATTCCTCTAGCCTAGCAGAATTGAATATAGGGAACCCCCCATATACAATGTACAATAACCGTCCGAAATTGAGTCCCAGATTGAGTGCCAGATGTTTCTTTAATCTCGCCTCAGGACTGCGAGGACATTCCGATTCTAAACTTAAGTCTTTACACTTACATGGCGCGTGGGAGGACGAGAGTGCGGTGAAGCATGTGGCTGACATGATCAGCAGTGCTCCTCTGTTAGAAACGTTGCGTTTAGGCGGCTATTTGAACCACATTGAAGACTTGACCGTTGGAATCCTGTCCCAGGCTTTGATCAAGAGCTCGTCCCTGAAAGAATTGGAGTTAGGTGAGGTAGTATGGGGAGAGGCCTTGTTGCTGAAAGCTTTGGCCGGAGATGATCGCAACCGATCCATTGAGCGTCTTCGGCTGTGGGGTTTGTATACACTCATTGTGGGAACTTCTTGTTTGAGGGAACTTCTTATTTCCAACCCATCATTGAAGGAAGTGGAGTTGAAGCCTGAGCTTTGTCACCAGCTCGTCGAAGTCATACGTGACGATGCTATAGCGACAACTATACTTGTTAAGTTTCACTTCAAACGTGATGACTCGAAGTCAATACAAGGTGATGACTGGAAGTCAATAGAAGGTATGGCTTGCTCTGCTAGCTCCGATGTCAGGGACCCCACAGTGGAGCTTGAACTCTTTACTTTAGGGGAAGATCATGTGATGTTATCATTAAACCTATTAGGTAGGGTACTGCGCGGGGAAGTAAAATCTCTAAAATCACTGAGTATATTTGAAGGTGATAAGAAAATTATCACGTTCAGTATCCTCCCGATGAATGGGAAAACTGGAGAAACTTCAGTCCTGAAGAGACTGGAATTATCTGTTGGAAGCGAAGATCTTTCGAAGGGAGTATGGGAGGACCTGCTTTGGTGTATGCGAGGGAACCACCTCACTCACTTAGATTTGTCTAACTCCGAACTCGATGAGGAGGCGTTCAGGGACCTGATGGGGGTCCTACAAGTGAACTTGGCTCTCCAAGAAATTGACGTCTCACGAACATCATGGGCAACAGACGGAAGGGCGGCACAGATTCAAGAGGCCCTGAAGCAGAACAAGGAGCGGGCCAGCTACATGTCCGTGTTCCGGGAAGCCAACTTAACATTCGGAGATGCAAAAGCTGGCCGACTCTTCTTATGCGGCTCTCCTCGAGCAGGTAAGATGCGCTGTAAATTCTCAGTTTTTTCCTGAATGTAGGCCAACTAGCATTCTATGGTTTAACATTTCTAAAACTAAGATTGGCACTACAAATGTTATTTTGATCTATATATAATGATGCGTTTATACAAATAGTAACGGAAAGAAAAAAAATTCAAATGTGTAAATCACTAATTATGTAACTTCAATCATTTTGGTGATTTATACTTTTTTCAGTCGAATTTATTTTCACATATTAAAATAATATCATGTCATATTGTATCTCAAGAATATCAATTCAAAGCATTTCTGAAGATATTGGTAATAACAAGTTGTGGATTTTGTGATGTGACGTCCAGGAAAAACTCAACTGCGTAAAACCTTGATGAGGATAAATCATAGCTGGCTACGCAGAAGCAGTCCATTCATGAAATGGGAGGCATTGTGGAGGACCAAAGGGATTGAAGTGGAGTATTTGTCAAACAATGACAAAATGCAAATCTCAGTTTGGGATCTTGCAGGACAATGGATTTTCCGTACCCTTCAAACCGTACTCTTCCCTCAAACCAACAATTTCTGTGTTTTTGTTTTTGTGTATAGCCCTTTCTGTGAAGAAACATCTTCAATCAAACCAGAATCTTGTTTCAAAACTGAGTTGGAGGAGTGGTTGAGTTTTATAACATCTAGCACTAAGGTCACAGGACGTGATCTTCCCCAAGTTATTGTTGTGATTTCTCACAAGGATAAACCCATACCTAGCTCTTTGAGTTGGGCTCATCCCATAGTGGAAGAATTGACTAAAAGATTCGCAAAATTTGTGGATCTTCGTCCTATTCAAGAGTGTTTTCATGTGGATGCTCGGAAGAAGAAGCAAGTTAGTTCTCTTAACAGACACATTTTTGAGAATTTCCACAAGGTGTTGAGAGAGAAATCCCCACAAGTTCCCGAATTGTGTTTACAACTCACCTCTCTCTTGGCTACAAACACCAAGAAGAACAAAAGTTTTCCTTTGTGGCCATCCAAAAAGTTTTATGATTTTTGTGTTTCCGATTTGAAAAAGTTCATTCCATCATCTTCTGCTCACTCTGTTGAACATTCAAGGATAATGCAATCTATCATATCCTATTTGAATGATGTTGGATCCATCATTTACATCCCCAACCTTGATTACATCATTGTCGATCCCAACTGGCTCACTAATACCTTCTTAGGTGAGCTCATAGCTCTGGGTCAAAACTTTCAAGCTCAAGAGCCAGAATCTTCTTATAGTATGAGCTCATACGCAAGCAAGGACGGATTTGTGAGCGAGATTGTCTTTGCTGGACTGATAGAGAAGTTTCTGAAAAAGCAACCACGCTTTCAAAATGTGGATAGAAAGGTGCTTGAAAACATCCTCATCAATTTAGATTTGTGTTTCAAGCTGGAAGATAATTCCAAGTATTTCATTCCTTCCTTCATCCCTGAGCATGCAAGCAGGGAGGAACAAAATGATCAAGAAGGGGCCCAAGCGAAGAAGTGGAAAAATAGCAGTGAGACTTCAAAGTTTGTCGGCATTCGGATTCAATGCCAAGATGAAACAACAATGTCACTGACTGCTGCTTTTTTTCCACGCTTCCAGGTGAGGTTCAATCATGATTTCCTAAACACAGTGAAAGCGTTGTAATTAGCATTTGATGAAGAGAATGTTTACTTTTCATTTATTGTGAAGAATTCTTAGAATGTCTCACTAGAGATTTACCAAATTTTCTATGATTGTAGATGTTCATGAGACGCAAGTTGATATCCAAGATGGGTGTTTCCGAGGAGAATGTCACTTGTTCTCGACATTATCTGCAACTTTTCCATGACGGGCATCGGATATATATCGAGCACGTTCAGGGTGAAAAGTCTCACAAATTCGTAGATGTTCTGATGTTATGCTCTAGTCAGAAGTCAAAGGAGGTGGCTATTACATACGTGAGGAAGCATATCGTCCAGGAGTTGATATCATTTTGCGCATCACCGAAAGGCTGTCCGGGGGTGGCGTTAGTGCTTGGTGTGATTCAAAATTTTTGCGTGGAGATGCTGATTCCAAGTCATCTTAGAGGATCCATTTTGATCGAGCAGCTGAAATCGGACTTCCTTCGTAGCATCAATGAGAAACTTGAGGAAATTCCGTTGGAAAGGTCGCACTTGATAAAGAAGGAAGATTTGCTTGACTATGAGCATTGTTGGCCTGAGATTGGAAGGTACACCAGCGAGAGATCCGAACGAGCAAGAGATCTGTTGTTCGAGAGCGATCTGGAAGTAGTTGTGAATGAGATTCGCCAGAATCGAGATCAACAATTGAAGTCATTGCACGAAGGTATAATTAGCGTGGAGGATGATTTGGCTCAATGTTATCCTGAAGGTGAAACCATGGTTAGCGGCTCCAATGTCCTCCAAATGAAAGACCTCAAACCACCTAGATCCAACTTCTTGAGTCGATCCATCACAAGTGTGGAAAATCGTTCAACCCAACTTCTTTTGTCTAAGATCGGCCAGCTAGAAGAAAAGGTCGATGGTTTGAATAGAAAGGTTGATGATTTGGATGAGAGGTTGAGAGAAGTGCAGAGCATCATGCGAAGAGTGGACATGAAAGTAGAACACATACTCTCTGTGCAACAAGAACTGCAGTCAAAGTTGAGTATCTTCATGTCTAAGGTGGACATGATCATTGGCTATTCGGAAGCTTTTCAGCAGGGGAATACACCCAAACGACCTTATGTTACGGACGATGTGGGACTTTTTTGTAGGTTGAGTGCACGTCTGCATGTCGGGAAAATTGTTCGATTACACTTGATGTGTGAGTCAGTGACTGGTTTTCACACTGTAGAAGATCAAGAAGGGTTGAAGATACGATTGGATTCGGAGAAGTGGGGGTGGATTCGGAAAACTATTGAAATTTCATACAAAGTCATATATTATGCTGCAAAGGCTGCACTGACTAAGTTCTGCGAGTTGGGCGATGCGATTCCGGCCTGGGAAGATTTGGAATCGGATATTGTTAAACTAGATGCTATTAGCAGTGAAGATCGCAATGCAGTTCTAACAGGTGGGTATAGCCAGGAGCTGCAAGAAGCATGGTCGAGGATTCAACAAATTCTTGAGCCTGAGCTTCAAAGTCGCTATTCCAAAATCTTCAAGTTGTATCTGGTGAAGTTAGAAAAAGGTGGGCATGCATGGGTGTGCGAGAGGTGCATGAAGAAAGGCCGTGATTGTGGAATTTTGACATGTTAGGATTTAGAAGAGGTTAGAATGCCACTATGCAATTGACAAGCATATGTTTAGATACTCATGCAATATACAACTCTGCAAATTCTTCCTTGTAGTTTTCACAAGGAAGAAGTCTTCTATAATTTTTGCCATCATGTCAATTGCACAGTTATGTTTCTGAAGAAAACTAAACTATGAAGATGACTTTTTGAGGGTAGAGTGTTCATATGATCTTGTTGCATGTCTCACTATGATGAAAACCCTTCCGTTGACACGTCAGGGTGGTCATGTTGAACTTCTACACATAATCCTGACTGATTCTTATGTTCCACGATGAAGGTCCGACAAATGTATGATGGACCGGAACTAAAAATTTATAAGTGTTATCATTTTCAAGTAGTATTTGTGTTTAAAGAAGAGAGCAATATAGTCTGAAGAGAATCCTTTTGCAAGAATTCATGCACAATATCCGATCTGTGAACCTCAGAAATTCGCAGCTCATGTGAATATGCTTCCGTCACTTCTTTGTATGATCAGAGAATTTCACAAGATTTCTTTGCAGGACTAACTCCAGTTCGAATGCATCTTACCGGTAAAACAAATTTCTCTCCTGTGATATATTGTTGAGGTGTTATCAGAGTTTTTCGTTCGGTATTCTTTGTGCGACATCGTGATAATATGCTTTTTCATAGCGGGATTCTCAGCGCATTTTAAATCGCGAGCACTCTCAGAGCTGTCACTTGTATAAATGAGGTACTTTCGAAGCGCGAATGCTTTTGCAATTGGACTGCGTGTGGACGTTGAGTTAAAGAGAATCTTTACGTGGAGCATAAATTTTCTCAGTATGCACGACCTCGTTTGCTGAATATTATGGGGATTGTGATTCTGTTTGCAAGTCTTTGACTAGGATATTTAGTCTGCATTCATCTCGCAGAATGTTAATAACGTATGGTTTGATTGAAACAATCATGGGTCTCAAGTGGACTGGGCTATCTCTCTTTCAGGAAGATCATCACCCACAAATGTTGTTTACCCAGTTGTAAATAGTCTTCTGAGAGCAAAGACCAGAACAATCATGGTGATTGGGATGAATTGATCGGAGAAGTATATCACGAATCGATTAGTTACGGTCACACCAGAGAAAATTATATATCTCTAAATATAGTCCAAAAAGCTGCCTTTCAAATCCTCAGCTTAGACTTAGTGGTGTACAATTAGTTTGCCAAACTAGATCTGGGATGTCTGCATGCTCGACGTCACGTCATGCAGTGTTCAAGATGCGCAGGTGTGGACTTTCCTAATCTGGACTTAGAAACACAAGTCGGGCATTGCAGCGGCAGGCCCTTGAAGAGATGAACCCCGCCGCGCGGGGTTTATCTCTTCAAGGGTTTATCTCTAACCGCGCCGTTAGGTTTCTTCTGAAGCTACAAGTTAAAGACTACTGTCCCGATATTCAAAGCAGCAAAAAAACGAAACATGCTTTGTCCACCAAGATGACCACGCATGTGCCGCTCAGTCGTCAGAATACATCCACTTGCTCGAATGGATCAATAAGGAAGGAATCTGGTGAGTTTGCCAAACTAGATCTGGGATGTCTGCATGCTCGACGTCACGTCATGCAGTGTTCAAGATGCGCAGGTGTGGACTTTCCTAATCTGGACTTAGAAACACAAGTCGGGCATTGCAGCGGCAGGCCCTTGAAGAGATGAACCCCGCCGCGCGGGGTTTATCTCTTCAAGGGTTTATCTCTAACCGCGCCGTTAGGTTTCTTCTGAAGCTACAAGTTAAAGACTACTGTCCCGATATTCAAAGCAGCAAAAAAACGAAACATGCTTTGTCCACCAAGATGACCACGCATGTGCCGCTCAGTCGTCAGAATACATCCACTTGCTCGAATGGATCAATAAGGAAGGAATCTGGTGAGGAATGAATGTCTTAGATAAAAATATCACTTAGGCAATCTTTGTGTTTACTTACTCATAATTTTCCATCCCATTGATCCAAAACAAATGGATTTGATGGATGTGCAAAGATTTTTCTCCTTGTATAAATATACATATATATGAGAAAAATATATTTCATATTTTTTCAACCAAATTTTGTGTATAATCTTTTGATTAAGTTTATTTCTTTTATTTATAAGGATAACATGGAAGAAAGTTATTTTGTTACTTCTTTGAGTGTAAATTGTTTCTCATGAATTTTCAGAAAAAAATGATGGGTTTTAGAGTGTACATGACCTACATATATACTACATGAAGGTTATTGATTTGCACATAAAAAAAATTTGTACTTTAAAATAAAATTTTAATTAACAAGTATGAAGATGATGTATAAAAACTAAACAATAAAAGGTTTGAACTATAATCTTTAGATAACGGGTACTTTTGTTTCATCTAAAATCTATTTATATTTTATTACACATGTATTGCATTGTATAATTCATGACCTATATGATAAAATCTATCTCATTATTAATATTAAAAAATTTCAGTTATCAAAGATCTCAAATTTCATTATTTACATTGAATGATACATACAGTTATATTGTGATTTAATTTTGTTATAAATGTTTTTATTTTCAGTGTTAAATAATAATTATTTAGTAGCGTGAACATTTGCATAAACATTGGAGTTAAAACATCTATGAATTCATAACTGTAATAACCCACTAAAGGCTAAAACTGTAATATAGTGGTAGAAAGGTCGAACCCACAGGGACAGAGGAACACACAGGGTACAAAGTGTCACGTTTAACAGACTATTGAGGAGTTTGAATTCTCAGGCGACTGTCACTCCCAGAAATACTGCAAGTTTCCACTCGGAGCGCACTCGGAGGTCGCACAGTGCAGCGTAACACACACACACACACACCTGAAACTACAGAAACACAACCCAAAGATCCGTTAGGACCTCTACTCAAGATTTAAGGGGGAAGTTCTCTCAAGAGTACACTCAGCGAAGCTGCGGGTAGTGACTCCCAACTCCGGCTTTTACAACACTTCCACTAGCTTGCTGCTAGCGTAGGAAACCCGGTTTGGACTGCCTACTTCGGATCGAAGTCACTCATACGCGGTGAACAACACTCTCAACTCACAAAACGCGCAGAGAACACAGGTCCGCACTGAAGGACTCACTAAGAAACATGCCGGTAACACACCATAACAGTCTATTGAAGAGTTTGAATTCTCAGGCACTTGTCATTCCTAGAAATACTACAGGGGTTACCCTTAAGGCACCTACTACAGCGTAACCTGAATTTACAACCAAGGCTTACACGAAGTAACAAAACTTCACTTTGGCATTCAGGGGAAAAATCCCGAAGGAGTACAATCAGGAACAAACACTCGAAGGTGTAGGGCCGAAACTATTCAAGTATCTAACTAGTCACTGGCTCTGAGCATCGGCAATCACCCGCAGGTGTAGATCCGAACTACTCAAGTCTCTAACCAATGTACTAGCTTTGAACATTCGGCCGAAGGCCTTCAGCTTCACGATGCGGATCGCTAAGGTGTAGCTCCTCTTGCGTGGTGAGAGAACTAAGGACACAAACACGCAGAGAAAATGAGTTCCTGATCTGCACTTCTGATGTTGGGAAAGATCTCAAGGCAAGACGCCTTGAACTACTTTATACCTTCTAAGTCCTAACTAGCACTACACTGCACTACGCTACACACCTGCACGGAACCACGCTACACTACACTCCGCAGAACCTGTGCTTCGCCTCCTGCGCGACGGACTGCCGCGCACTAACTCCCTACCCTGCCAGTACTCCGCTCGACTTGGCAGTCCCAACCGCTGCAACGCCGCGGACACCTCCGCCTCGAGGGTGGACATGGTATCCCGCGCCTTCGACAGAAAAGAGTCTAACTTCTTCGCCACCCGCCGCCGACTCCTACTGTCACTTGACAACAACCCGGCTGCACGAAGCTCCAACTCACGCAATGTGAGTTTCTCCTGCGCCGCCACTTCCCTGTGGGCGTAGCCCTTGAGACAGTGGGCGACTCGCCTCGCCATCTCCTCCTTCGTGCGATCCGCCTCTCGCCTGCGGTCATCTTCAATTACCACCAACTGCGATTCGGCCTCCGCACGCTGAGCTCTCAATTCCCCGCACTCCGACTGTAGCCTGCGGATCAAATCCTCATCCGTCTGTCGTGCGAGCTGACACTCCGCCAACAACCGCGTCTGTCACACGAGCTCCTATGACAGGACCTGATTCTGAGTCTTCTCAGAAATCAGTTCTTCCGTGGTCTTCACCACATCCCTGGTGAGCTCTTCCAGTCTCGCCTGCTTCAATGCGTCATAGTGGGTGTGCGACTTCCGCACGAGATTATACTGTCCCCACAAACAGGCATGCTTCTCCCGCAAATCCTTAAGTTCCCGGTCCACCCTAGGTAGTAGCTTGCTGGTGTGGACTTTAGTGCGAGTCCGCCTGCGCACTAACTCGATGTATGACCCCGGCTGGAGTGGATCTGCGTATTTATCAAATTTGCGATCCAAGTACCTCAGCAGAGGTATTACCTGCTCAGAGAGCGCCGCCGCCGGTGCTCCAACAATTTTCTCCTCCTTCCCCTCGGTGTCTCCCGATCCCGACATTGCTTCTATGGATCCTCCTTCGTCATCATCCGAGGGAAGGATTTCGGTCGCCATTGATTGCGTTGGCGACTGGCCCGAGTGGAGCTGCGAGTGGTCTACGGGTGCTGCCGCCGATGGCACTCTTGCAGCTTCGCTGCTCCCCGCTAAAATGTCCAAGGCGGTGGGTGAATGTGGCCGTGCTACATCCCCATCATCCACCTACCGCTCGTCGATCGTGTCCTCTTCGCCGCCGACGTCCGCCGCCGAAGGCGATCGAACGGAATGTGTCTGCGCGGGGTGTAATTGCGCATCGCGCACCCAAATTTCGTCCCGCAGACAGACAATCCGCTCCTCCGTTAGGTCCTGCGTGAGGGCTGCGTCTGGCCTGTGCGTAGGCGCAGGTACCGGCCCCCTGATCCGCCGCAGGCGCAGCGCCGAAGGCGTCTATCGCCGAAGGCGACAGAGTCGAAGGCCGCTCGCCCGACGTACCTGGCCCCGAAGGCCCTGGCGCCGAAGGCGCAAATCGCGGCGTGTTATACGCCGGAGGGTCTGGTTCCGAAGGCCCTTGACCCGAAGGCGGATCTTCCGCCGGCTCCTTCCCCTTCCTACGTTGTATCGGGGGTGAAT